CTATTGTTTTCTGCCATCATTGTGACAGAAGCTTAATTCCACGCTTATAACATTTTCTGGTTTAGCGGCAAAAAATTCCCTGTCCCCATTTTCAAACTAATCTACATTGCTGAACCACCATCCGCGCAGGAAATGAGCCATAGTACAGAAAATGTTTGATGAGGCAAGGTCTGAACAGGTTGAGGCATCATTTTCAGTCCTTCAAGTTCCCGAAGTTTGCGCTTGGTTACACTGGCAGCCTATGCTGGGACATTGTCATGCTGTAAGAGTACGCGTTTTCGATTGATCAGTGCCGGATAGCTGCAGCTTTCAAATCATGATATACTAGCTACAGCTCTTGAGCATAAATACCAACGTCCACAGCATGACCATGTATGACATGCTCAAAAAAATTCATGACCTTTTGTTCAAACCGCCATTGTTTGACAACAGATGCTGAAACCAAACATGAAAGAATCCACTGATTTTTTCTTATTAATGTTATGAAAATAGATTCATTTTTCATCCCTAGTTATAATTCCACCGTAAAAGCAGTCATATTGAAGATTTGGGATATAGTTGTTTGCAAAAGTCCACACATTGTTGTTCACATCATGAAAAACTTGTCGACAGCATCAGTTCATGAGACCTAGCTTACGGAGGTGTCGATTGATGGTGCTTAGTGAAGGACCAACTTCTGCTGACAATGTACAAGTGCTTATGTTTTACGGTTGTTTACCTGTTTCAAGCAAGGACTCATTCTTCCACAACAGGTCTCTCTGACCTTGGTTTATCTTTGAGGCTGGTGTCATCATTTGTGACGCACGTCCGTTGGAAGTTCCTGGGTATTTCGATATCATTAATTTTTGTTGTCTTTTTTTGCACAGTACACTTTAATTGCAATTTTTTCACCACTCATTACCAAATGCATAAAATAAAGAATAGACAATTAAGGTTTATATGTTATATACGAAAGTATATAGTTAATGAACAAGTAAGATACTTTCTTAGAAGTCTCAATACTAAGCAAACAGAACATAATACTGCTTCAACTAATCCCAAACATATTAATCTCCTATATACTATATTACTAATTATAAACAAGATGAAAATATACTAACAAAATTAGTAAATATCTTCTTTTTTTTAACATACAACGTGTGTTAGCACGTGCGATACCCTGTCTTCATCAGCCGCCGACCAGGGATGATATCACGGTTTCGGTGGCTATGGCGGGACCGCCACCCCTGGCGCCACCAGCAGCGTTTGCCACTAGGCAGGATATGAAGATAAGCTGATTAATCGTTCCTTTAAGTAAAATCTATCTGCAATGAAAGTTTCCTGAACGCGTTTGCCGTTATTGACGCGCTCGTAAAAATCGTTATAGACGACCACGCAAATATCTCACTTGCGCATGTTAGGTCGTGATGTTGCGCGCATTTTATTTGCTTGTTTTGATCTCGACTAAATCCAACTTGACGCGTGTTGAACAGTTTTTTGAAGGCGATGCGAAACGCTTTTCAACCAACGGCCAGTGATGCCTATTTTTTGAAAGGAAACCCACGACACCCAATCTCAATAGGCATCACGTGACACGTCCAACCATTTTCCATACACTCGGCACGCAGTGACTCGTACCGGTTTTTCTTTAGTTCGTGCGCCTCCACCCTGTTCTTAGGAAGACAGTTTTTTTTTTGAGTCGGACCACAATACAATGTTAATATATCTACAACAGATCCCAGCAAAAATATTGTTAATCATATACTACACTAAATCTAGTATATCCAACTCAATTATTCGCAATGATTCTTCCTCCACCCCGTTTGCGATTTGTAAAATCCAACATAGTTTACAAATTCAAGCGCCCTTTGGGAGATTTTACCTCCAATGGATTAAATAATATTTATGTTGGTCACACCAGAAACTCGCTTTCACGACTCTTGACTCTACATACGAATGATAACTCTAACATTTTTAGGCATTTAAAACAACATGCCTGGCCGCATACACAATTTCGTAAAATCCTTGTTGAAAATACAACTATACTTAAACATGAAAACAATAAACAAAAACTAAAAATTCCTGAAGCTATATGCATAAAACAGGTGAAACCTAACCTGAACAAAATAAACTATGAAATCACCACAAATATTCTTAGATGCCTATAATTGATAACAAGAGCCATTGGTTTATACCAACGGCTTCCCATACTTAAAAATTCTAGTTTTCACTCTCGTGTAGTCATGTGCGACGTCACGAGCTGCGGTGCGATTTTCGCTTCTGGGTCTCGTATACACGAGTTTATCGTTGCTTGGAAATCTTTCATTCAACAAAAACAGACTATCATTATTGTTTTGCCCGTGTATTGTTTAATATATTGAAATGCCATTGTTATCTTTGATAATGGCTAATGTAAGCCGAAAGCTTAGATAGGATTTAAAAACATGTATCAATATTGTGATTTTCTTTCGTCTTTCAATGATAATGTTATTAAGCTTATCAGACAATATGAAAGGAACTTAAAATAATTTGACAAAACTTGAAACATACATTAATGAAAAATTGCTACCTATATATATATATATATATATATATATATATATATAAATCGATTCTCTCGTCAGGTTCAACGTATGAGGGTCAAGCAGATCAGTTTCCAGGAAACTGACAGCCCGACACCGGCACATGAGATTCGATCATAGTGGTGAAGGCTTCGTGCAGGACCATCCACACCTGCACGAAGCCTTCAACTCTGAATTCAAAACCTGAGGGGGGTTGTTTAGGGATCTTGTGGCACCGTGTGTTCCTCTCCTAGACCAGTTGCCACCCAAGGCTATAGAGCCCAGTCTGTCCTGATATTTAACCCATAGCTGGAGGGAGAAGAAGAGGATTCACACCTTTCCCAGGTGTATTAGCACGTAAGTGAATATAATGGATTCAACCTGGATTCGAACTCGGCTCTGCGATTCCACAATCCAAGCCGATATCCATTACCCCATATCCATATATATATGCAGTATATTATGACAAACACTTTCTATTAAACCAACGATCGGTCTTTCCATCATTGCATGTAGATTACATATTGGATGCATCACACAACTCCAATAAAATCATCTTAATAATAATTTATCCGATGCTGATATCAAAACAACACTAGGACAACATTTGCCGGTTCATTCATTGGATGATATGTCAATTTTATAATTACCCAAATGCTGGTGAATGGTATGAACCACCTCCTGAAACAGTTACATGACGCCGAATCTACGATGTTTGATGACTTTACCATTCATATAAAAGTTTATAAACTAAACATCGTGATTTAAGAAAACAAATAGAAAAATGCATTCTCAACATATGATGTTGAAATTGAGAAAAGGTGGCAGCTTAAATTAGCTGCTATATCATAAATAATTGTATCTCTTAGTACGATAAAAAAGGGAATCACAAATATTAACAGTATCCCTGGCAGCCTCTGTTGAGAAAGAATTCGAAAAATTCCATGGTGGAAAACTGCCCGCCAACTCAGGAAGGCATTATCAATATAAAGAAAATATAATAAATGTACATGTTAAATATGACTTAACATCCGAATCTATGCACACAGAATACATATATTCTCGAACCTGCCTTACTCCAGGTCTCAGGAAATGATCCGTTAAGAGATCACACTTAAGAATAAGAAAAAGATATTATTATTATTATTATTATTATTATTATTATTATTAACAATTATAGAAATAATAATAATAATTCAGTAGAGATATATGCGTTTTCAGTAAGAGACAAATAAGCCGTGCAAGAAAAGAGCGATTGAGTCTCATTCTGTTGAGGATGGGGTTATTTCGAAGGCAACTCGTTGTCATGGATTTCGGCCCAAACAGGTTATTAACTGGAAATATAAAGGTCATTTTCCTTACACCGGCCGCAGAATTAGATCGTGGGGTTCAGAATGGGTCAATGGGCTGACCTATTCAGGCGTCGAGATGAACCCAATAAGCAATATTACTCGTAGCAAAGAACGAGTGAAAAGCGTAAAAATATATTGCAGAAAGATTAAAAACAAATACATCATACACGCCTGAATGTACGAGAGTCTACTAAAATGATCTCCATCCGATCAGTTCCAGAAATCTGACAAAATGGCTAAACATGGGATTTTATTTGGAATTCTTACATGCATGAATTGAGAACTTTCCATTATACAATGATATATATATATATATATATATATATATATATATATATATATATATATAGTAAGGTAATGAGGGTTTTGGTAATCTGTGTGGATAATTCCAAAGACGATGTAATCCAGAGACATCAATGTAATACAGAGCAAATATTAATTAAATAATTAAGAAAGTGACAGCCTTAAGATTCCATGACTATAATTTATTTCCCCAAAATATATTTTTCCTGGTTCATCTTTAGTTACAAAATTTTATATATATATATATATATATATATATATATATATATATATATAGAGAGAGAGAGAGAGAGAGATGATTTTATATATATATATATATATATATATATATATATATATATATATATATGAAGAAATATAGTGTTAAGATGTCCTATATTTATGGGATAAAGTGCTCAATATCAGAGATAGAGCGTGTGTAAATATAAAAGTGAACATAGAAGTCAACACTTAGAGGCGACAGTCTGTTTCATGTTAGATGCAATCGTCAATGGCCTGACGATTGCATCTAGCATGAAACAGACTGTCGCCTCTAAGTATTGACTTCTATGTTCACTTTTATTTTTTATATATATATTATATATATATATAATGATATATATCTATAATGTTAAATATATATATTATGATAAATATATAATATGTATAATGATATATATATATATATATATATATATATATATATATATATATATATATATATATATATATATTGTCATATCAGAGAGAGAGAGAGATATGTTACATTCATCTCTTCAGACCGAAAGTTTTAAGAAATGGAATCAATACAGACAGGCAGACATACCGAGATAAGAAGGAGAAGGGAAGCGAGAGAAAGAGAGAGAGAGAGAGAGAGAAAGGGGAAAAAGAAGAAAGGAAAAAGAAAAGGGAAAAGCATTAATTATAACAAAAAGGAAGAAAGAAAAAAAGAAAATTTACAAATATAAAGAAATTAGAAATTATGCGAAGAAAGAATGAGTGAGAGAACGAGAGTGGGAAGAGATGGAAAGAGAGGGTGAGTAAAAAAAAAGGTAACAAGGAAGAAATAAATGATGATCCAATAGCAAAAATAAATAGACTAAACCTAAAACAATTTTCTTAAAAGGGCTTAACAAGCTAATATCCAGGGTAAGGGAATGAAGATGGTGTCGTAAAGTAAATGAGTTACAACAATTTGTCAAATAAAGTCATGACATTTTAGATTGTAATCATCATCACATAAGACGATCATCATAATTTTAAGCTGATACTACTACTACTAATAATAATAATATCCAACATAAATAAAACAATATAATAAAATAAATTAAATAAATAAAATTTAGATAATTATAAAGAACAAATTTAGAATATAAAAACTGATAATGACAAAAATATAATACTATTAATAATAGTAAAATATAAAAATATAAGCTAATAAAATACAAATTATTAAATAAAACATTAAAAATTATAAATGAGGTAGGCATCAGCAAGACAATCACATAAATAATTAAATATATCTACAAACCTATATATAAAAATGTATAACAAGCAATATAACTATACATACATACATATGAATACACTTACACACATATGTTTGTACCCATATAAAAAAAATAACACTTCAAGTGTATATCCCCCCAAAACAATGTTTTAAGGAATTTTAAATTTGCTCATGTCTACATTTGAAAATAAGTTAATTTCTTTGAAACAATATTTGGTCAGCATTTTTATAATTAATGAATATAATCTTGTATATATAGACTGAATCTGTCTCGGAAGTTGTTGTAAGTTTTAGACTGACATATGACAGACTATTTAATTTTGTGGGTTGAAGCCGCCATCTTTAAGTTTCCAATAATTCATAGATAGGGCAATTTGGTGTCTTAAAGAATTATTGGAGAAGGAATGCTGCTGATTGTTGATTCTCTGTTTCCAATTTCCAGCGGATATCCCGATGTATAATTTTTATCTTTAATATTTTCTTTTGGACAAATGGTAGCTTGGTATGTTCTGGTGCGTTGTTGTCATAAAATGTTTTTAATATTTTGTTGGGATGTCAGTTAATATTATGAATGTTTTTAGTGCAGCAATAACTAATTGTTAGAGTTCTTTTCAATTGAAAATTTTTTGTAGAGGGTTGTTATGATTAAAATTTTTGTCGATTAAATTTAGAAAATATCTGCCAATTAGACAATTTACAGAAAGGTGTGCTAAACCATATTGTTTTTCTTTTTGTGCTTTTGGCTCCATTAGTTGTATTGTCTTTCAAAGTTTTCTGGTAAATCTATTGTTGTTTGAAATTACTCTTATTGAGAGAATCTTTATAAGTCATTTTATTCTCATTGAAGATTTTTTTGTTAGACGAAAATCTATTAATTCCAGTGTTTGCTGTGTTAGAGATTTGTCTAATTATTGAGTTTGTGTGATTGAGGTTGACATTAATATAAATAGGAGTTCTTTGTGAAATGGCTAAAATTTGTTATTAGAGAAGTCGAAAGTGATAACTAAGAAATTAACTATTTTAAGGTGAGATGAGATTTCAATTTTAAAATCAAGGAACTGCAAACTCTTTATAATCTTTTTCTGTATTCTAGAAGATGGTGGTGAAAATCTGGGATGAAAATAAATCCATCATCTCTGAAAAAAGTGCCTGTTTAGGTTCAATAATTCGAAATAATTATATTGCTCTGTACCTTACATTGAGTTTTCAGTGGATTAATGCCCTTCTTGAATTATCCTACCAATTACAAATTGGTATTATATATATATATATATATATATATATATATATATATATAGGGTGAGATGGGTAAATTGTCGCCATCTTATATTTTTAATTTTGCGCATGCGCGTTGTTTGTTTTTGATTTTGTCAACTGCACAATGTAGTAGGGTCGGTTGGGCACCGTTTGTGAGAAAAGGAGCACCATTATATAATTCACTCAGATAGAAATTTAAAAACAGCATGCTGTACTATATGGCATATTAAGTTTAAAGGGAGATTGCTTGTCCTTTTTTTTTTAAAGAAACAATTTTCATTAAAAATTTACCTGGATCAACGTATTTGAGCAGATATTTATTATTATGCATACATGTATCCATCAATTCACTTCTCTTCTTTAATAACCTAAGGGATTTGGTAAATTTTCTTTTTAAGCCCCGCTCTAAATATCTATTAAAATGTTCAAAAATCCTCATACATCCGTGTAAAACCGAATTAATGCTGAAATCAAATTGACAATTAAATTATTTAAAAAAAACCGTTTTGGAGTTATCGACGAGAAAAAAAACGGACTTTTTTCGGTCATCCGTTCGCCATTACTGTCATAATTTTTAGTAATTCACTTTGGAGTAATTCCATTGGCGTAAGAAATGTTGGCCTATTTACTTCTTTAACTGAATTTAACGCCGAAATCACTACGCACTGTTGTAAAGCATTTTTTGATAAGTGTAGTATTATTTATAACATACAACTTTAAACAAATACATATTAGATAATACAATAAAATCCGTTTTTCTGTTCAGAATAGCAATTATAAATTAAAAAAGAACAAAAAGAATGAAATAAATAATACAATAAAGCATAAATAATACAATAAAGCATTTTTTGAATTAAAAATAAACAGTAATTAGGGTTAGGGATCAGGTTAGGGGTCAGGGTTACTAAACCCTAACCCCCAAACTTAACTCTAACCCAGGGTTACAGTCAGGGTTACTAACTCCTAACCCTAACCTAGGCATGGTGTCAGGGTTACTAACGTCTAACCCCAAACCTAAGCTTAACCTAGGGGTTAGGCTGACTCCAACCCTACATTGAAATACCGTTTCTGGTACAATCACCGGTCAGTACCTAGATAGGTGACCCCTTGGGAATATTAGGTACTGTACACTTGGATGTGCGGTTGATGCAATCGGTAACGGCTCGGAATTGGAACTCGTCTCTCCGAGTTCAAATTCCCGTTGGTTTCGATAAATTTCCTTAATCTAAAAAATATTTTCTGGCTTTAAATATAGTTCAAAAGTTTGATAGGCCCTAAAAAAACACCATCAATCATATACTCCGCGAATATCTTATACGTCACTCGTATTAAATGATACAAGGAAAAGGTTAAATAAATGATTCTGTGTATTTGTTGAGATATCGGTGTATTGGAAGGCAATCGGTATGACAAGAAAATAAACCACAGTTACTGTGAACTGTTAAATATTTTCTTAAGACATTGACTCTCACACATTACTATACAGAGACATTAAACGAAAAACGATACATTTAGAAACAAAAAAAAAATTACAGTAAAATTTACTTGTTATGAATAATCAAGAGTAGTCTCCTCTTGTTTTGTTACTCTCCTCTTTGAGAGAGCTATTTCTGGTTACTGTGACTATAAAAGGACACTCTACGCAAACCTTGTATTCTCAATTGAAAAAAAGCTTTCTCAAAGTCTACACCTGTGTACTTTTGGCATTACATTACTCAAGCAACCATTTAAAATCCATATTTCGAGATTTTTATTTAGTTTTATAATGATTTCGGAAGAATTATTTCAACCTCACAATTCTTTAGCATTTCACATAAAATTGTGTATTGTATTGGGTTGGCTAAAAAGGTCGTTCGCTTATATTTTTCTATCATGTACGCTTTTATGAAACTAAGTGGAACGAATAACTTTATTTTTAATGCCATATTAGAAATATACCATAAATTAATCAAAAACTACTGAAATGATAAATTTTAATGCATTGCTTTTATTTTTTTGATTTTTTTTTTTTACCAGCTTAATGTCATAAAATATTTAATTGCACCCAATGAGGTCTTTTTTAATAATTCTGAATTTAAGAACATTTATTAAAATGGCGACATTTCTATTAACAAACAAACAAACAAAAAACTTGATAGAGGTATTGAACAGATAGAGTTAATTGATTGCTTTCACTTTGATTTCTGTCGGACATATTTGTCAAAAAAACCTTTCTTTGAAACATTGAAAAATTTAACGCCAGATTAAAAATAAATAAACAAGACTAATCAATATTTTCTAAATAAGCAGGAAAACACAGACACACGAAAAAAATGTGGCCGCATAAATTGGAAAACACAAAACAAACTATATATGTCTATATTTCTGAGATGAGGTATTTAACTATTTATAATGTTTGGACAGTTGTCGTCATCCATGTTGTCATATTCACGACGTTTCGACCGTTGTACGCTGCGACCTTCTTCAGGGGATTGGAATCTCGAACCGAGCCTTTTATGTCGTCCACCAGGGTATATTGTTCTAGTTCCACGTGCCATGCATTTTGTAACTCGACTCTCAAGTTTTTTTTGGTTTTTTTCACCACTGCTGTGGCCAGGTATTGAACACATAACTCTTTGGGACAAGTCACTGGATTACTGCAACTAACGCTTTGATTCACTGTGTACTTGAGGGCATCAGTGTATGAATTTTGGGGCCTTATAAACTTTTTTTCCAGAGCTCATATTACAATTTGTTGTTATTATTGTTTATTGTCTAGCACTTTGTATTACTGACTCACATATTGTATTCGTGCCCATACATGACCGGCTTAGGAGATTTTTGTGGTCGAGGATATACATTGATTCCTTATGATTTCGTATTTTCCAGTGATGTTCTCTGTCTATTAATACAACCTCACCCCAAAGAGAGTGGTGATCTCCTATTTCCTTCCATATATGGCCAAATCTAAGTGACCGATATCAAATTGTTATTATAAAAATATCATATTTCAAATCCTTATTCCGATATGTTTATTTTCGGGTCAAGGTCATGATATTTTTTTTTTTTTTGCCTTGCAATTTTTCAATTTCCATATACAACACAAAGCTCATGCCAAAACCGCAAACCTTTCCAAAAACATCTTTTTATACAAAACGTTTTTCCCTTTACCATCAAGTTTTATGTATTTTATTGGGTTTGCTAAAAATGTGGTTCGATTACTAAATAGAAAATTTACTTAATAAACCGAACGAATGTTTTGGCCAACTCCATATATAGAAAAATGTTAAACACGCAAGAACGAATAAACGTGGGGTATGTGCATGGCGTAGTGGTTACTTGCGTAGAAAATTAGAATTGCCGAGTTCAAATTCTGACCGATGTCATTGCGTTCGCTTTTGCATCAGTATAGTTGGAAAAGGTAGGCATCCATATCATCTTCTCCACCCGTGCTTAGTGTTAATAACTGCTCTCTGGTTAGCAACAACTCTAGGGAGAAGGGAAGCTCTGAACTTAAAACCAGTTGAGTGTGAGGCGAGGAAATCCACCTCGTAAAATCATACTTACAACGGTAACCATAGCAGCAACAGCCGATGAAGCGGCGGGCCTATTCATCCTGTGTTATCATAACAAACTTGCTTTTAAATGTTCTACAAAATATGAATCCGTATTTTAATGTTTTCGTATGGAACAAAAAAAAAACTTTCTTCAGTAAAGTTGAACATTCATGCCTGCAAGAAAACGAAGTGTCACAAGTTATTTTTCACCTTGACATTTTTATTTTAACTACCCCCCTCAATGTTTATATTGTTTTAAAAACGATGATTAGAACTGTAATGAACCTAATGATGAAGGTGAATTATATATATATATATATATATATATATATATATATATATATACTTGTCTCTCCGATTAACAATTCTGAGTCGTTATCCATTACACCACTGACTCTTCCAACATTGCAACACCTGATATTACCAAGCAGTCGCCCATTTAGGTATTGACCAGGCTCGATGTTGTTTAACTTTGATAATCGTACGGGAACCGGTGTTTCAACGTGCTATGTCTTTAAGCCTTGAACAGAAGGCATGCATTTGCACGGTACTTATGGGACGTTGACTCTTTCAACAAACTGAATCTTATTGCAGCAACTGTCAGCACCAAAAGTTCAGACATAGATGACGCACTTACCACATCACAAGATGACTAGTTTGGAGACTTTATTAGATTATCTACGACTTGCTTATGTCAAAATCAACATCGTCTTTCAGACAGGTGAAATTTTATTTCCTTTCAGTGTGCATATATATATATATATATCAAAGTGCAATCTCAAATTGTTAAATCACAGCTGTCAGGAACTGTTTTTTTTTTTCGTTATGATACAGAATCACGAAATAATTTTTGCTCTGTTATTGACAAGAATTTTGAACGTGCCTGTAGTTTTGTTTTGTTTTCGTCAAATATTTCAAATCTTTTCATGTCTTTATAACTTATAATTTTTTAGCATTCGGCTTGCTTTTCTTCATTCTTTTTTCTCCATTTTCTTCTTTTTCCTTTCTTTATTGTTTTTTTCTTTTTTCTTTTTTCATTGTTTATTTTTCTTTCGTTTTTCTCTATTTTCTTCTTTTTCCTTTCTTTATTGTTTTTTTCTTTTTCTTTTTTCATTGTTTATTTTTCTTTCTTTATTATTTCTTTTTTTTAGTCCTTTCCTTTCTTAATTTCTTTTTTCTCCCTCGTTTTAGTCTATCACTCTCATCGTAGACGTCATTTTTACTACTGTTGTTCTGTTCCTTCCTTCTTTATTCATATAACAATTATTTTTCTTATTTTCTCTAAACATTTAGAATCCTTTCTCTCTCTTTTCTCCAACTTTCTTTTTTCTTTCTCTTTCTATTTTCTTCTACTCTTTACTAATCTGTTTTTCAATCTTTATTATGCCTCACAATGTACGTTTCTTTTTCTTCCTTCTCTTCTCTTTGCCTCTTCACTTTTCATATCTCTCTTTTCTTTTCTCCCCCCTATTCTTTTCTCTTGTTTCCTCCTCTATTTTCCTCTAATTCCTTTTGGCATATAATTTATAATCGATCGTTAAGTTATCTCACTTTTAATCATTCAGGCTTTATCTATATTTATTTTTGTTTTTCAATTTCCATATACAACACAAAGCTCATGCCAAAACCGCAAACCTTTCCAAAAACATCTTTTTATACAAAACGTTTTTCCCTTTACCATCAAGTTTTTTTCTCGTATAACTATTCGTCATTGGTTTAATCCTCCGTTAATATTGTGTGGTATTGTAACAGAGGAGGTGCAGCTAATGTAATGGCTAGAAAGAGAAATCGACGGGCCCGATTCGAATTTTAGTCGAGATGGTTGCATTCGTTTTCGCACAAATACCTTTAGGAAAGTTATGAATCCTTATAATATTCCTCTAGATATGCGTTAAATAGCATGGGATTCAGGGTTGTCTTGTCATGGTTGAAAATTAGTATAGGAGAATGACAAAATGTAAATTCAAAATCGAATGTGGGCTTGAGTGGGAATATACTTGAATTGTAACAAAGTTCTATACTTTTAGTAAAAATCACAGGATGGTTAGCGCAGTTTAGAAGTAGCACAAGGCCGAAAGTAAAGGCCATCCACAGGCTGGTAATATGGTGTTCAAGAAATGAGCGCTCAACTCCCATAGACTTCCTGGGTTGTATGGGAAAACAGTTCTCAACATACATAGGCTCCCTAAGGCGTATGGACCACAACACTCAGGTCCTATAGACTCCCTGAGAAGTATGCGGCAACAGCTCTAAAGTCTCGTAGACTCCCTGAACAGTGTGCAGCCAGAGTTTTCAAGTTCCGTAGACTCCCTAAGGAGTATGGAACAACAGCTCTCAAGTCTCGTAGACTCCCTGAACAACACGTTAGTGTGTGCTACTGCGGTTTCCATAACACGCATTAGGATTTTACGAGATGGAGTTGTTACCCTCAAGTCCCAAGTGTAATTTTACGTGAGACAATGCAATAAACTCGACTGGAATTCGAACTCCACTCTCTTCCTCGTTACACCACATGCCACCCGAACACCCATATAAAATTATAGACTTAATGTCCTTTACAGTAAACAAATAAAACTATTAGTAATTCACACAAATATTGATTAAACTTAGAAACGCCACGCCAGAAGTATTCAGAATTTAATTTGGGGGATCAGTGTTCAGATATTCCATGAGATTAACGAGGTAGGTAAAAACTATTTACGATATCGTTTTCTAAAGAAACAAGTATTCTTCGTTCCGCGGCTCAGGCTGTGGAAGGATTATCATCTCTTAATTGGGTCTTTGTCTTCGGGCAGAGTGCATCTCAGTTGTGGCCTCTGTCTGCGGACAGAGGCGCAGCTAAGGAAAATAATACTTTGAGATTCCCGGCCCTGAAGAACAGCTAGCCGAAGCTGCACCTTCTAATTGCACGTGAGAGTGGGTGCCGGTGGTCGCCACCGAGGCCAGCGCAACCGATAGTTGGCGGGGCTGGGAGATTTTTATGCCTGTCCCGTTCGGGTTCTCCATATGAAACCCGCCGTTGTGTCACATCTCGTGTCAGTGGGGAGGCTTGTATATCTATATATATATATATATATATATATATATTTATATATATATATATATATATAGAGAGAGAGAGAGAGAGATGTGTGTGTGGTTGTCTGTGTCTGTGTGCGCGCTCGTGTGTGTCTGTCTGTGTGTGTGTGTGTGTGTATGTGTGTGTGTGTGTGTGTTACAGTAAGGTTCCCCCTTCACAAGGCCCGGTGGGCCATTCGCGGTAGAGGGTTACGTTAAAGGAGAGCTTAATACTCGCGATATGAATGAATAACATAATTAATTGCTATGTCGAGCCGAAGATATCACTCCAAGGGTGTAAAGCCACCAAGACACAAGGGGTTTACAGGTTGTGGAAGAATTAAGAAAAGCGGGAAGAGAAAAGAGTAATCAAGAGGACGGTAGATAGTGATTGACATTGTTGTAATTTTTTGCAGATTACAGTTGGTTGTTAAATATGGAGCCGGAAGAGAATTTCACAAGCGAGAAGTGCGAGAAAAGAAACTGTTGGCATAGAATTTACGGCTACATCTCGCCAACTCAACTGTAAATTGATGAGATCCAGTCACCAGTCTAGCACAGCGCTTGAATTTTAAAAAAAATGTCTATGTAGCATATTGAAGAGTGATATTTATTTTTAATAAATTAAAAAATGTGGCACAAGGCCAAAAGGGAAGGGGGATAGGGTGGTCTTTTTCTGTCTTATAATTAAACTTAACTAGCCACCACCCGAAAAAAAAAACAACAATATTTCTTACCCCAAAACAAAACATTCTTACTTACCATTCTTACTACGCCCACCATAATACATCGGAATCTCTATGAAGTCCTAACTAGTCCCCATATGTACTATTTTTTCTGTGGAGGGAGGGGAATAAAAGAACAATTTAAAAGCTAAACGCCAATGTGTATTTATAATATATGGTAAGCTATTTTCAAGAAACTAAATAAAATATGTTAGCATATACCATAGCGAAGAGCGATATTTATTCTGAGTATATACAGAATTGTGGTACAAAGCTAAAATGGCGAATGGGGAAAAGGACGGTCTTCTTCTGTCGTAACGTTTAACATAGCTAGCCACAAACATTAACCCAAACATACAACAATATTCTTACTACATCCACCATAATACCTCATTGTCTCTATGGAAGTCCTATCTAGTTTCCATATGTAGAATTCATTGTTGGGGGGGGGCAATAAAACAACAAATTAAAAAACTAGCCCCAATGAGTATTTACAAAGCGAAGACCTCACCCGAACAATTACCATAAAAGTATTTGTAAATAAGATACAGAGAGGTGTCTTTATGGCGGTTGGAATGTGACTGAAGTCGAGCCATCAGATCAGGGCCAATAATATTGCTGATTCGTCTTTGGATTTTATCAAGAAGCTCAAGATAAATAGCAGAGAAACCGGACTATATGTGGCTTCAATATTCTAAGCATGAATGAATGGCTGACTTATAGATATATTTATTATATCAAATTGCTGAAAATTCGATACACGCATCGATTTGACTTGACCTTCTACATATTATTTTCTTGCATCTGTTCATTTTGATAATGAAACCCATGCAGATATTCCTGGGTCAGCTTCTTCTTTTAAGTCGAAAATATTTTATGAAAGGATTGAAATCGATGCGAAAACAGAAGAGATGGTATACAATGCAGACTGAAAATTTCTGAATAATATAATAAAAGAATAATTTGATCAAATATTATTTCCGTGTGAACCTAAAAAATTCGAAGAAACAAGCAGCTTTTCTAGCCGACTGTCGTTGCCAACGATCTTCGTAAGATACTCTGGCTAAATTTCTGAAATGATAACAATCAAAATAACAACAACAGTTTCAATTAATTATTTAATAAGAACTTATTTATATCATAATCTTTCTGAAAGTTCATAATTTATAGAGATTATTTTGGTTGTTGATTTTTAACAAAGTATTCGAAAACAAAGCGAAAAACTTTTAACGGGAAATTTATCACGAGTCTCCTTAGCCGGAAAGAAAAGTCTAAAGGGTTAGAGGTGATTGAAGGAAAAAGAAAGAAGATTATATGATAGATAGATAGATAGATAGATAGATAGATAGATAGATAGATAGATATGAATAGACTGAAATAGATAGAGAGATAGATAGATAGGAACAGACTGAGATAGATAGGTAGACATGAACAGTGGGAGATAGATAGATAGATAGATCTAGTTACCTGTGGTAGTTAAATTGACTTCTGCTAATTTGATCTACTCTGACTTAACAGGTCGTGTGTAAAAGTTAAAATTTCTTTACGTGCATTTTCTATTTTTTTTTCTTTTTTTAAAGTATATATTAATTTAAATAAATCTCTAACAACCCCCTTCTGCTTGGCTAGATAGAAAAGGACGAAGAAATAACTTTTCTAAGAATGAACTTAAGGGCAGATTTACTCTGACTTCACATATCGGCTGTAAAAAGGAAAATTTGTGTCATTT